ACAAAGAATAACCTCCTAAAATCAATAAATTGAATCAGTATTTATTTTTGTCAGTAGTACTAAAGTGAATAATTGTACCAAGATGGCACGTATGTGAAGTAAAGTGCAGCATGAGAGGCACCTGTGGCGAACAGCCCTGAGGGGTTTACTCGATCAAGGGTTCGTCGTCATCTTCGAGGATCTCCAGTCCCTGGAAGGGTCGGAGGTCTAAGGACCGGCGAGAGTTCATCAACCTGAAAAGAACTGAGGAGCAACAAGTTCTGTTTGCAACTTGAACACTGACGCCTCATCTGTGAACCCCAGCAACAACCAGGCTTACCGAGGACGGTAGTGAGCAGGACGCCGACCACCAGGCCGATCAGCATGGGAACTTTCCAGCAGGTCTCAGAAGACACTGCGCCTGGCTCAGGGATCCGTTGTTGGGCTGCGCCGGCACCGACAGCAGGCGGCACATGAGCGGGTAGATATCCACGCTCTGTAGACTCTTGATCCGGTATCCTTGACGGAAACTGGGGCCTGTTGCTGCTAGGAAGGAGTGCATGCTGGGCAATGAGTTGTCATAGCCGTGATCTCCCACTGCAGGGTGAGTTCAAAAGTAGAGTGAGTGGGTGGAGCTTATTACTGACACTAGAGAACAGTTGTCCCTCGCTACTACGCTGTTCAACTTTTGCTGACTCCGTCTATCGCGGTTTGTGAACGTACAGTACATATTATTGTACAAACTTTTGTTTTTATTGTACAGGACACATGATTGTCAACTTTAATATTACGTGATTGGGACAGTACTGGATACAATATAGTAAAAAGTTAACAAAAAAATTAAATACTTCGGACAGACGCAGCCATTTTGTAGTTTTCTCTTATAAGCCTCCACTGTATTCCTGCTCATAATAACCACATTTCCCAGAAGCCAACAGAGCCCCGCCCAGAAGCCCCGTTTCCTTCTGCTGAAAAACTATAAGGAAAGTTTTGATCTGATCTGAGCGGATGCAGAGAAGGTGCATGGAACCCACCGAAACTTGAGCAGAACCAGACCTCCAGATGCATCAGTGAATCATGAGAGCTGGTAGCCCACCCACGTGGACCTCCGAGTGGGAACGCGCGCTGATAGTCCGGTGGTCCATTTGGACCCCACCGGCATATTTTTCATGTCTTTCAACCGGCCAACGAGGACCTTCGAGCAGGGATGCGCTGGTAAGTAAAATTTAGTAGCTACATATAAGAATGTTGTTAAAATTAGTAGATTTAAGAGTTTAGATTGACTGTGGGCTTCGTCGCTGCAGGGTAGGTCTGCAGAAATGGAACAGTCAGACCGAAACTGCTCCTGTTCTGCAGAGCCTGGTAAGTAAAATATAGAAGCTTCATAGAGAGTACTGTACGTATGTTGTGAAAATTATGTACGTTTAAGAGCTTAGAACATTGCAAGAGTGTGGGAGTGTTTCTAAAGCCCTAGAATATACGGTGCTCAAAAAATAAAGGGAACACCTAAACAAAACAATGGAACTCCAAATCAGCCACACCTTTGTGGAATCAATGTCACCAGTTAGGTAGTAACTAGGGATGCACGATATACACAATCACTTCTGGCGAGCTGATGGACGGCAGCGCCCTCCGGCTTCTCTGCAGTCTTTTATCATCAAACTGACCCGTTTTTCAAACCGGACTAAAGTTGGTCCTCCTTCCAACCGAATTCGGTGTTCAGTGACTCAGAGAGCCGGACGGGACCGTCCAAAAATATATTTTGGTCCAGGACCGGCCGCTCCCACCCCACCGGTCACTCTGAGCGCACCCTGCCGGCCAGGTGACCCCTCGAGCCGGGGAGTCGTCGCACGAAGGTCCGGTGTTTTTTTCTCTCTCTCTCTGGACCTCAACAAACTCTCATCTGGACCTTTGTGGTTCTACCTGGTTCCAGTTCCAACAAGAATCACTGGGTGGTATTTCACTGTTTCCTGCTGGACTGGCCCTCGTGGTGTCTACATTGGTGGGGGGGAAGTGTACCTGTGACCCTCGAACTGGACCAGAACCGAACCGAGTTGGCTGTGGGGGACTTGATCTTCAACAGAGCCGGTCTCAGCTTCAGTGAGCAGCTCGTTACTTTTAACAAAGGACTGTCCACCTCCGTGGAATCGCTGTGTTCACCTGGAGGAGACGCTCCGGTGCTTTGAAGCGCAGCCAGGACCGGACTGGAGCAGAATCGGACCAGTGACAACTTCAGCCTCTTCGCCTCTCGTGCTGTGGAGCGCCGGAGCTGGACTGGAGCAGAACCGAACCGGACCAGTGTCGAATTCAGCCTCAGCCTCTCCAAGTCTGCAACTTTCACTGTTTCTGGTTCTGAATGATCGTGTCTTCATTAATGTTTCTCATGATTCGATTATGGGGGCTAATTGTCACACTGTTAACTCCTATAATTACACATCAGTCACGAAAAACTCAAGAAAATGTCTGATAATAATGTTGTTACTGCTCTCAGGGATTCAGCCCAACCCTGGACCCCCCACTATTTATATGACACCAAATGACTTTAAGAACGTGTCTGGGCTAAAACTTGATGCCTTGAAAATTCTGGTCAGTTCTTCTGGGGCAGATGTTATCTTCATCTCTGAAACCTGGCTCAACAGATCTGTTCTCAATAATGACCTGGCAATCAATGGATTTAACATCTACCGCTGTGATCGTCAAAAAAAGGGGGGAGTCGCTGTTTACATCAGAGATTCTTTGGTTTCTAGTCTTGTGTCTTCTAAAACAATTCCAAACCAAATTGATGCCTTAGCTGTAAACATCAGTTTGAATGGAGGCCAGATCTTATCTGTAGTGGGTTGTTATCGTCCACCTTCATATCGAGTATGAATCCAGATCTTCATGGTGTAATCATTTAGATTTACTTTGATATTTTTTGTTATTTTCTTCTCAATCAATTCCACTGTGCTAATAATAGTTTGTCAATGAGAATATTTAATTAAATGAGGTCTACGATGTGTTATCGTAGTGTTCCCGTTAATTTTGTGAGCAGTGTATATAAATACTAAAATAAATATAACGTTACTTCGCAGATTTTCACTTACTGCAGGGAGGTTCGGAACCAAACACCCGCAATAAACAAGGGACTAATGTATTTGTTTTGTAGTCCTTACAATTTGGTAGCTTGTTCCCCCTCTGCACTATGGTCCAACCCTCGTCAGCAACCAGAATGATCGGCTGGACGCGCTCATTGTTCCTATAGTGAAGCCTTTTGGGGATTCTCTTTTTTAAGTACGCCGTCATGTTGGGGTGGCACTTGTTTAGCAAGCTGAAGACAGCCTCTGGGTCTGCAAAGTGAGATGCAGAGAAACGGGCATTAAAACCCTAGAAAACAGGAGAATATTTACAAGTGGTTCCCAACCCCGGTCCTCGAGGATCGCTATCCTGCGTGTTTTAGTTGTTTCCCTGCTCCAATACACCTGATTCAGTGATCGACTTACTTCATCAAGTTCTGCAGAAGCCTGTTAATCACCCATTCATTGAAATCAGGTGAGTCAAAGCAGGGAAACAACTAAAACATGCAGGATGGTGTTCCTCAGGGACCAGGGTTGGAAACCACTGATTTAGAGCATGACCTGTACTTGGTTACCTCCGTTAGGGATGAGGGCCGCAACAGGTGTGAAGTCCACCAGGGTGTAGTTGTCCGGGTGGAGACAGTCGTCTAGGCGTA